CAAAGCCCAAAGAGATAGAATTGGCTGTTTCTGGGGATGGAGGGAGAGGATAGCGGAGTTGGTACGGTGTTTGCTTACTGTGTGTGGGCCGCTGGTTCAGTCCCTAGCAAGGCATACGTTGGGCATGGTGGTGCACATCCTAGTACTGATGAATGACGTGGAGGCAGGGGGATGAGTTCGAGGCTATCCTTGGCTACATAGGGAATCTGAGGCCAGCCTGGACTACATGAAATCCCAAGTTTAAAAAAAAAAAAAAAAACAACTACGTTTTTCCATTTTATAGATGAGCAATCTGATAGAGTTTTAATTATATAACTGTTCAAATCAAGGGCAAGCAGATGGTAACTGGACTTAAACTCCAAAGCTGTGCTCCTGTATTAAATTTCCTTTTGGCATAGACTGGTGTTATTTGCTTCTTTTGCCTTTTGAAGTTATGCTGTGCCTGGCAGCAGGAGGAGTTCTGGCAGGCCCTGCAGTGGAACAGTCAGGCAGTTCGTAGGGGTCTAGTCTTTAGGGTCAGGAGCGCCGGCTTTCCCTTTAATTATCTGTTCCCACACCACTGGTCCCTTGTGAGCTTCTGTTTTCACATCTGTACCCCAGAGACAATCACAATCAGGTCTACCACACCAGCTTACCACACACAGTAACCCCTTAAGAGGAAGCATGGCTGGTGTGCTATTGTTTGTTTGTATTTTCTTTTTTTTAAAATTTGTTTATTGTTATGTACATTTTGGTGCTTGGCATATATATGTGTGTGTATGAGGGAGTTGAATTTGAATCACAGACCAGACAGTTGTGAACTGCCATGTGGGTGCTGGGAATTGAACCCAGGTCCTCTGGAAGAAGCAGCCAGTGCTCTTAACCACTGAGTCATCTCTCCAGCCCCTTTCATATTTTCAAAGCACAAATTCCTTAGTTTTCTTTTTCTTTTTTTGATTTTTTTCAAGACAAGGTTTCTCTGTAGTCCTGGCTACCCTGGAACTCTCTCTGTAGACGGGGCTGGACTCAGATTCAGAGATCTACCTGCCTCTGCTTCCTGAGTGCTGGGATTAAAGATGAGTGCTGCCACCTGGCTAATGTTTTTTTTGTTTGTTTGTTTCTGGATTTCTCTGTGTAACCTTGGCTGTCCTGGACTCCCTTTTGTAGGCCAGGCTAGTCTCAAACTCACAGAGATCCACCTACCTCTGCCTCCCTGAGTGCTGGGATTACAGGCGTGCACCGCCGCACCCAGCTCTACCTGGATAATTTTTTTCTTTCATTTGTTTGTTTGTTCATTTGTTTGTTTGAGATGGGGATCTTACTATGTACCCAGGGCTAGTCTGGAATTTGCTCTATAGAGTAGGGATCTCCATGTTTCTGCCTTCTGAGTGGTAAGTGTTCTGCCTGCATACCAACAGAAGGCACCCAATCTCATTATAGATTGGGTTGTGAACCACCATGTGATTACTGGGAATTGAATTCGGGACCTCTCTAAGAGCAACCAGTGCTCTTAACCTCTGAGCCATCTCTCCAGCCCCCTCTTTTCCTTTTAAGTCACCTGTGTTTACTTTATGTGGGTACCTTGTGCTATGGGGTCTGAGGATGACCTCAGAGTCAGTTCCCTCTGCCCATTACAGGTGGGTCCCAGGATTTCTCTAGGTTGTTCGTCTTGGAAGTGGCCATCCATATCGAGTGATGAATGGACATCACTTCCATGTCTCGGAATCTTCACTTTTCAAATAGAAGGGCCCCTTCCAAATGTTCACACTGGACCTTACTGTCCTTAGTTTGAGTCATGCCAATGATGAACTGATCAGTCTACTATTTGTGGAAGGCCAAGCACGGGCAAGGAGGGTGATGGTCACCCTTTCTCTGCTGTTTTTCTTCCAGGGTGATGGCTTATCTGGACGTGTGGCTAAGAAGAGCTTCAAGCTGTGTCACCACTGATAACCATGCCTTGCCATGCAGCATCACGGGGCAAAGATCCCTAGAAACACTCAACAAAACCAGAGTCAGAATTTGAGAGTCCTAAGGCAGCCAGCAACTGCCTGGAGAGGACAGTTCTTACAGAGCAGCCCTGACTGCCTTCAGCAGGGAGCTTTTAAAGAAAAACAGAAACAACAAACAAACAAAAAACAAAACCCGTATTTTGGTTGGCAGTTTCAGGAGGAAGTAGAGCAAGCAAGCAGTTTAACAGAAGCAAAAAATTGGCAGTTAGCCAATTGGACCTCAAGTCCCTGGGGCAGGGTTTGGTAATTTTCTAACAGACTTTCCCATAAGAGGGGGTTGGGTGTGTACTAATGATTATAACCCTCATCTATCGAGACAGCAATTCTCTCTCTCTCTCTCTCTCTCTCTCTCTCTCTCTCTTTATGATCCCTGCTTGTCTTTTTCTGGGTTTGGATATACAGTCCAGCTGGCTCAAACTCAGGGCAAGCCTTCTGCCTCAGCCTCTCCAATGCTGGGAGTCCAAGCTAAAGTGTGGTTATTATACCCAGCAATAATTCATTTGCTTTTGGGGAGACTGAGAGAGGCAAACATTAATTCCAGGCAGCTATGTCTGCAACCCAGAGAGGAACCCTGATAAGGCTGATCTATGTGCTGACACACCCATTAAACACGGAGTACATTGGAGCAAAAAGGGAGTCTATGGAAGAGAGCTGTAATGGTTCATCTTGGTTGCCAGGTTGATTGGCTGAGAACCAACCAGGAGTGCTTCTGTGCATACCCATGAGAGATCTTAGGTTGTGTGGAACCTTCTGCAGAGGCTGAGATATGAGGAGGTTTGAGGGAGGAGTTTATGCTTTTTGCCTGCCTGTCTTTGCCTCTTGATGGCAAACACTACCGCTGCTGCTGACATCCGACATCCTTCACTGACATCAGGACCCTGCTTTTTTGGACTTTCAACATGGACTGGAGACCAGTGTCTCTCCAAGAATCCTCCAGCCCTTTGGTGAAAAACAGGGGCTACTACTGACTCACCCAGCCTCGAGGCCTGAGCATCTCTCTATTCTCAGCCTCTCTAGTGTGAAGACAGACTGTACTGTGTAAGCCAATCTAGTACACCCCCTTTGTTTATGTATCCCTCACAGCCATTCTATTCCTCTAGTGGAACTTGACCTCCAAATTCAGGGCAGTGACTTCTGGGTCACAGAGGTGTCTGGGACACTAGATCTGGAAAAGGAATTGGGCCAGGAGTGTGGGCAGCAGCAGGGCTTGATGAATGACATTGGAATGTGACACCAAAGGGGCAGGGCATATGTGAGGGGTTATGACTGGTCTAGTGCTGAGTACGGGCGAGGGTGTGTTTGCCATTAGATGTTGATACATTGTCTCACTGGTCAGAGAATAAGGCTGACTTCCTTAAGTACTAGGCTACCACCTGGCCTTTACTCCAGTCTTTGCTTTGTCCTCTGTTGGTTCTAGGGCTTGTCTAAATTTCTTGCTATGCCCCATGCAGGGAACGGGCTTCCTTTGTGGTCTCTAGATTTACTAAGTAACAAGTGCCTGAAACATATTACAGAGTTTGATTACACAGAGGAGCCTAGCTTTACTTTTGGCAGTTGAGTTTTAATTTCACAGCTATGATAGACTCAAAAGAATTTTGCCTTTGGAGCCTTCCCTGTCGGAATCTCCTGGGGAAAGAATGTTGAAAAAAAAAAAAAGTTCCAGATCCATTCAGTCTTATCGAATCTGAGACTTTGGTAGGACTTAGGAATCTGCATGCTAAAAAATGCTAAAATCCTCTGAGACGGTCTGATGCTGAAGTTTGGGACCCACTCGTTTAGAAGGCAAAGCCGATAGGCAGAGAGCGCTGTCACAATCTGCCAATATGCTTTGCGGGTTCTGCCTGGCTGCCCTCTACACCCTCCTTCCCTCCCTCCACCCTGTAAGTAATTGATGAATGTAAAAATAGCCTTCCATTCCAAGAAGCCCAGTTTAAGTGAAAACTCATCTTTAAAAGTCACTTTCCTTCTCTTGTCCCCAGACACCGTCTCTAAGGTAATAAAGTTATGTTGTCCAGGTGTGGTGGTACCCATAGTCCTAGCGCTAGGAGGTAGAAGCAAGAGGCTAAGGGTTCGAGGCTATCTTCAACTACATATCAAGTCTGAAAACAGCCCGATCTACAGGAGACTATGTATCAAAAAAAAAAAAAAAAAAAAAAAAAAAAAACCAAGATCATAATATAACATTACATATTTGCGACACACGAGTTCTAGGCGCTAATTCTACTAATCATTTTGGGATTGGTCGTTATGGTCAGGTGTGGAGGAGGAGGAGCTCGGAAATGTAGTTTCTGCAACTGGCAGGGACTGATGTGTCCGACTGCCTCCTAAGATCCCCGATTCGTTGGAATCTGCCCAGCCAGCCAGTTCCTATTTTCGCAACCTCAGTTTCCCTCCGTTGGAGGCACTTGTTGCTAAATTGCAGGAAGAGGAAATTAAGAAACGAAAAGGACTGTGTTAAGCGCCTCAGCCTCACTGGGAGAGAGAAACTCCCGTCCCTCCCACTGAGACACCGCCAGGTAACTCGCAGCAATTCGCCGCCGCCCCTACTTTCCAGTCGGCTGCAGCGCATGCCCCTTTAACAGCCCTGACCAGCCGCTGGCCGAGCC